CCAAAAGGGTTAGCAGTTTGGTTCTGGTGATTTTCGAAAGTTTTTTCTTATGCTTCTTTCTAAACAGAATGCATTAATATTATAATCATCATACAGCTATTTTTATTTTGCAAAGAAGTCTGGTTCTGAAACGACGGAACCATTTATCCCATTATCTTAAACAGTTGTCCAGGGCAGCAGTGTGATCAGACTGCGAAAGACAAGGTGTGTGCAAATTCTTCTTCAAGCCATGATCCACCTCTCACCTGCAAAGGAGTCTTGATTAAAAGGGAAAAAAAAACAACTCCTTTGCAGGTAGATAATCTGGATACGTAGCTTTGCACCTGGTCATAGACTCAGACAGGGAAAGACCTCCTGGAGGCGGAGAGAAAGGGAGACACCATTGAAGAAGGACTCTGCAGAGTGAGGCTGCTCAGCTGGAGACTGAGAGTGGGGGTGATGGGGAACAGGGAGGCAGGGGGCTGGGGTCATCGCGACGTAGACTGGAAATAAGCATTGAGTCAGTCGCCCCCTTAAGTTACCCCCATGTTTACATACCTGCTTTATTGAGCAAATATCCGATGAGGACCGAGAACTGGGTGCCATTTCCTAACCTGGAAATGAGCTCTTGGGCAGCGATGTCTCAGCTCACCAGCGCCCCCTCCTGTTGGATGAGCCACAGGACAGGGACAGGTCCAGAAAGGAATGTGATTTTACGGAAGCAGACTCCACCTGAGGAGACGGAGGGTGTCTGGTCAGGAGACCCTACAAGAGGGAGGGACCAAAGGAATCTTGAAGATCCAGTCTGGCCCTAGAGACCATGGGGCAGCATCTCACAAGTCCCTTGTGAAACTCCTCCAAAACCAGGGCTCCAAGTTTGCAGAACTCTGCCTACTGTATGTCCTCTTACAGTTTCCTGATGCATTTTAGCACATCACAGCCACCAAGAAATCCTGCAACAAAGAAACTAATGTAGCTTTCCCCAAAATCTGTGACCACAGAGTCCTTTTACAAAGAAAGCCCATGAACATCTCTTGGAAATAACGTTCCATTGGAACCACGGCTGAAGAGGATCCGTACGTGAGGAGGAGGGCTGGGCTGCCCCAGGATCAGTCTGGAGAAGCGGGGAGTACGATGGTCCTCTTGGCTCGGTTTCCATGTTGGGGCCTCGGGAGTTGGACTCTCTCTCCCTCTCAGAGTCCTGCTGGCTGGGCTGAGGTGATGATAATGATGGCAGTAGCTTAGTGCTTACTCTGTGCCAGGTACGGTTAAGCATTTGATGTATTCACTCACTTCATTCTCACAACAGTCTATAGGGTAGGCACAGGTTTATAGATATAAAAATTTAGATATAAAAAAAACTAAGTTGAGCCCGGCCAGCGTGGCTCAGTGGTTGAGCATCAACCTATGAACCAGGAGGTCACAGTTCAATTCCCAGTAGGGATACGTGCCTGGGTTGCGGGCTTGATCCCAATGGGGGGCGTGCGGGAGACGGCTGATCAGATTCTTTCTCATCATTGATGTTTCTGTCTCTCTCTCTCCCCCTTTCCCTTCCTCTCTGAGATCAATAAAAAATATATATTTAAAAAAACACACAGTAAGTTGAACTCTCATTCATTGCTGGTGGAAACACAAAATTGGTACAGCCACTTTGGAAGACTGCTGTACAGTTCGGGACATGTCTAAATCCAAATAATGCCCACAGGGCCACCCACCGACCGGGTCTCCTGATAGCCTGAGGGAGCTGTTTCTTCAGATAAGAGAGGGTCTCCCTAGAGCAGTGGTTCTCAACCTTCCTAATGCCGCGACCCTTTAATACAGCTCCTCATGTTGTGGTGACCCCCAATTTCATTGTTACAAATTGAATATAATTAAAGCATAGTGATTAATCACAAAAACAATATGTAATTATATATGTGTTTTCCGATGGTCTTAGGCGACCCCTGTGAAAGGGTCGTTCGACCCCCAAAGGGGTCGCGGCCCACAGGTTGAGAACCGCTGCCCTAGAGGAAAAAGGGAAGGACTCGCTTGTTTCTGAGGTTCTCCAGAAGCAGACGCTGAGGGGGATCAGATGTGAGGGAGGGAGGGCCAGTGTGGGGTAGGGACTGAGAGATGGCTGGCTGCCCGCTGCTCCTACAAGGGGGGTGGGGGGCACAATAGAAGGGTCCAAAGAATTCCTCCTGGAGCAGGAGGCAGCCAGGTTAAGGGCAGCACCGTTCTCATTCTCTTCGCATCTGCTGGCATCTCTTATTCTGACTCTGTCCCCAGGAGCCCATCAGTGTTGAAGCGGGGACTTCCTCCCAGGGCCAGGAGGGAGCACTGTCCAAAACTGTACTGCGGCCTGGCAGGGGCGGAGGCCTGTGCCCCCAGGTGTGTGGGGAACCACCCTCCTCCACCAGGAGGGTCAGGGAAGATGAGACCTTCAGAGGCCATCCAGGACTTTGTCCAGGGGGCACCCCAGGAATCTCTGCAGGGCCAGAACCAGCCCCCACACTGCTCAGCAGAGAGGACCCACCCACCCAGGTCATCTCCCCGTTCCCAGTCCGGCCCAGCTTTGCAGCCAGCCTCCCCAGAAACCTGGAGGAAAGGTGAGGCATGAATATTCTTGGTTTGGTTCATTTATTTGTTGACTGGCCGTCGCCCCAATGAGGAGGTGGTGTTCTTGAGGGCAGGCCAACAGGCCCCGGTGTGTGCGGGCTCCAGGAAAAGGGAATTGCACTCCCCACCCCCACTTCACCCTCCACTTCACCCCCACCTCCACTGCAAGGCCGGCATTGAGCCTGGGGCCCCTAGTCTGGGTCCCATATGGGCCTCTGGGCCCTGGGTGGCCTGGTCAGCTGCCCTGTTTCCCCCAGCCATACCTTGGGTGCCCTCACCCAATGCCGCCACTGGGCTGGGCTTATCTGTCTTCCTGGTGTTGACGCAGATGCTCCTGGGCCCAGCCCTGCTGGCCCCACAGGCTCCCGGCCAGGCCAGGGCGCAGGTCCCACGGCTGCTCTCCAGGAGGGATCAATGCAGGGCTCTCATGCCCTCCTGGGCAGCGGTGTGCCTGAGGGCTGGGCCTGAGCCAACAGGGCTGGTTACATGACTGGGTCCTGCTGCCCACTCCCAGGACCTTCCTGCTCCCTCCTGCTCCCTCACCCCAGGGGCTTATTCTGGCCCCAGGGGGAGCTTCTTGTCTCCCCAGACACTGAGGACCTCCAACCTTAACCTCTCCAGCCACTGGGACTGAGTGCCGTTGCCTGGAACCTCTGCACTCGTCAAAATTCCTATTCCGACCCACCAGGGAGTTGTGCGTTGTCATGTGGATGCCACTAGGGGGCTTCCTCCCTCCGCCCTTCTTCTGTCCTCCAGGCCCCTCTGAACCGCAAGCCCTCTCCCACTTCCACCTCATGGTAGGTGCCTGGTGCCTGGTGGGTCGGATGGGAACTTGCTTTCCCAGACCCGGCTGGGTCAGCCTGGCCGTTTCCTGGCTAGAAGCTGGAGGACATACTGTTTCGTTGTGGACCTTGAGTTTGTTGCTTTTGGACCTTGAGTCCTGACTCCTTCACTCCCCGCTTTTCTGATTGTCGTTCTTCTTGCAATTTCTTTATTCTATTTCTCCGACCCAGGCCACTTCACAGCCCGGCTTTTCTGATTGTCGTTCTTCTTGCAATTTCTTGTTTATTCTATTTCTCCGACCCAGGCCACTTCACAGCCCGAAGCCTGTGACTTACTCTTCTGATTGCTTTTGTTACAGAGCAGGAAACTTTTTTGGCCTGCTTCATTACCTAGCCACCTCAGCAGTTTGACAGCCTGTGCGAAGTTTCTAGGAACTGAGCTCCCACACCTGAACAACGTCCCACAAAGAACAGACAGATCAAAATGAAGAATAGTCCTGGCCTTGAAATTACCCAGAAATGAATAACAGGGGGATGATGAATAGCCTGGCTAAAACTACACAATTAGCTTTTGTAACTTGGCTTTGCTTGCTATGGGAACCTGAACACAAATGTAGTTGTCCCCTTTAAATATTGGACTCTGCAGATGGTCGTGGCCGCTTCTCTCTTGGGCTTCCCGAGTGGACACTGGCCAGTCCATAAAGGCTCTCTAAATTTCAATCCGTCTGGAGTTCTGGTCATGCTGTCGCTCGCGCTCCACAACACTTTCAGGCCCGGCCACACGGTCACCTTGAATCTCATTTCAGGTCCCACTGGATGGGTTTCGCCGTTTTTGAATCTGAATCTTCAGTTTTCTGAGTTTTCACCCTGGACTTGCAGGAATGCAGGCTTACGTAATGTGTTGCTTTTCTATTGCTGCGGTAACTCTCTTTGTGGCCTAAAACAGCACAGGTTTATGGCCTTAAAGTTTGTAGGCTAGAATTCTGACAAGTATCTCACTGACTCAAACCACGGCATCAGCCTGCCTGGTTTGGCTCAGTGGATAGAGTGTCGGCCTGTGGACTGAAGGGTCCCGGGTTCGATTCCGGTCAAGAGCACGTGCCTGGGTTGTGGGCTTGATCCCCAGTGGGGGACTTGCAGGAGGCAGCCGATCCACCATGCTTCTCTCTCATTGTGGATGAATGTTTCTATCTCTCTCTCCCTCTTCCTTCCTCTCTGAAATCAATAAAAATATATTTTTTTTAAAAAGAATTTATTTATTCCCCCCTCCAAAAAAACAAAAAAAAACACACAAAAAACTCCACAGCATCAGCAGGGCTGCCTTCCTATCTGGAGACTCTGGAGAAACCATTGCCTCACCTTTTCCAGCTCCTGGGGCTGCCCTCAGTCCTTGGCTTGTGCCCCTTCTCCGTCTTCAAAGCCAGCAATAGTGGGTTGTGTGCTTTTCCTATCACATCGTTTGGCTTTCCTCTTCCGACTGCTTCCGGTTTTAAGGACACTTTTACACGGGGCTCACCCGGATAATCCAGGACAATCTCCCATCTCACACCCTTCATTTAGTCCAGTGGTTCTCAACCTTCTGGCCCTTTAAATACAGTTCCTCATGTTGTGACCCAACCATAACATTATTTTCGTTGCTACTTCATAACTGTAATGTTGCTACTGTTATGAATCGTAATGTAAATATCTGATATGCAGGATGGTCTTAGGCGACCCCTGTGAAAGGGTCGTTGGACCGCCAAAGGGGTCGCGACCCACAGGTGGAGAACCGCTGATTAGTCACATCAGCAGAATCCCCTGGCGGCCAGGATAGAAGCGCCCACTCCAAGCATCCTTGTCCCCCCGGGGCCCAAGCTGGGGCACATTCCCTGTGGCTTCCCAGAGGGCTCCAGCGGGACTGTGCCTCAGCTGCTCACACAGCAACCTCTTCTTTTGGGCAAATGTCATTGGGTTCCTCTCTCTCTGCCTTGGTTCCCCCACTTCCCACTACAGCTTTTTGGTATCACCTCCCAAATAAACTACCTGCACCCCAGCCCTGGTCCCAGGTCAGCATTTAGGGGACCTCATTAAGACCAGGAGCACCTGACATCTGTGTGATGGGGCCACAGGCATGAGCACTGGGGTGTTTGGGGGTGTTTCCTTCACAATACCCCACTCCAGTCTTCCTGGCTCCCAGCTACCCTGGTGCTACTAATGTCCTTCCATAAATTATCTTTCTGACTGAACTAACCTGAGCGGGTTCTGCTGTTTGCAACCCAAACCTGTAATAGTACAAGTGGGTGGAGAGAGATTTAGGAGTTAGGGAGTGGTCTTGGGGCGGACAGGACACGCGTGACCATGAGGGTGTCCAGGAAGCCACCTGGAGTCCACAGAATGTTCGGCAGCCACTAGGACATGCAAATGTTTTTATTAGAAACAGGACAGGAGCCTGGGCCTGAGGCAACAGAGGGCTCCGCTGAGTGCTGGACTCAGGCTGGCTGCAGGAACGGGCCAGCCAGGAGAAGGAGGAGGAGCAGCAGCCAGGGGCGTGGCTTGTGAATGCTGCTGCTGGCTATCAGCGTCTGCATCCATTTGAAGTGAGTACTGACGTTGGTGTAGACACCGGGTCGGTTGGGCCGACCACAGCCCACTCCCCAGCTCACGACTCCAACCTGATACCACAGCCCTTTCTTTTCACAGGCCAAGGGTCCGCCCGAGTCACCCTGGGGAGCAGAATGCGTGAGCAGGGCCTGGGGCGGGGCAGGAGGGGTTGGCAGAGAGGTAGGGAGAGCAGGAGGGGCTGTAGAGCTGGGAAAACGGGGTACAAATCCTACTCCTCCCCCAGGAAGCGCCCAAGTGTCTGCATCTGCAAAAGGGGGCCATAGTCTAAACTCCGCAGGTTGCCATGAGGACCAAATGATACAGGTGCCTCTCGGGCCTGGGGCTGGGTTGGTGAGAGACTAGGACCCAGAAGGCTCTGGTTGGGGTGGGGAGGGACACTCACGAAGCAGGCGTCCCGGCCGCCTTGAGCATGGCCAGCGCAAATCATGTCTCCCCAGATGTTGTAGCGGTAAGAAGGCTGTGTGTACATGTAGTCGCACATGGTGGTGTTTATGATGCCGACCTCCACTTCCTGGAGGCTGTAGGGAGCCGGCAGGTCTACAGAGGAGTTGAAAGACAGAAAGAGAGAGCATCCTGAGACTCCCCTCTGCCACCTGGTTGGGAGGGATGGTGTAGGTTGCCGGGCGGGGGCAGGGTCCCTGGGGCATCCATGGTGCCTTGACGAGTCCTCTACTCAGGCCTGGCATCCAGCACCTCATGGGTGATGAGCAATATCACAGAAGGACCCAGTAACTGGACAAGCCGTTACAGCTGCTCCCGGGTTCCCTACGTGCAACATGCAGATGACAGCAGTGAAGAGCGACCTTAGCATCCCCGGGGGAGGCGGGTGACGCAGCTGAGATGTTTTAGGATTAACACACGTCAGGGCCTGAGCCAAGAGCTCCCACAGCCCCCCCAGGCTGCAGCACAGTCATGACCCACTTTCAGGAAAGACGCACCCAGAAATGGCAGAGCCTGACATGAAGCCAGGTCTATCCAATTCCTAAATCCGGGCTGGGATCATTACCTTTTCCTGCAGGGGATCGTGACCACAATAACACCAAAAGCTGATGTGTCAGCAGAGCCTCCCATCTGCCGGGCACTCTGCCACCCTCTGTATGAATGCTTTTAAACCTCTGAGCCACCCTATGAGGTGGGAACTGTCGTAACCCCATTGTACAGGTGAGGAAGTTGAGGCACAGTTAGGTGAAGTGCTTACACAAGATCTTCCAGCGAGCGAGTGGCAGAGCTAAGGTTCACATCAGGCAGGGGCTCCACGAGTCACCTGCCACCTGTGACAATGAGGTGGAGCCTAGGGCTGGATGTGATTACCTGTCGGCCTTGGGCCAGGGAGGGAGGGGACAGTCTGCCTGGCTGGGCCTCCCTGCAGCTCTTTGGAGCCAGGGAGGTGGACGGCAGGGGCACTTTATCCAGCCCCTTCTAAGGGAAAGGAAAGGACCCCAACTCTAGAGGGAGGCAAGCCTAGTGTTGACTTCTCTATCCCCTCTGCCAATTCCAGATGTGTGACCACACAGACAGCCCTGGCTGCTCCAATGACCCCTTCTGGGGTCTTGGGCAATTTCCATTCCCTTGTCAGCTTGCTCATCTGTGAAGTGGGTATAAATGTTCCCAGCCTCATTTGCAGGTAATCTTCTGAGGGAAGATAGATGGTACCCTGCTCACTCCTGAGTCCCTAGAGCCTAGAACAGTGCCCGGCACAGTGTGCAGGCAGGAGCTTCTGCTGTTATTATTACGACTAGAAGCCCGGTGCACAAAAATTTGTGCACTGGCCGGCGGGGGGGGCCTCACCCAACCTGTGCCCTCTCACAGTCTGGGACCCCTCAGGAGATAACCATCTGCTGGCTTAGGCCCACTCCCCTGGTGGCAGATGGCACGCCCAATCCCGTGATGTCTGCCCAATCTCCCCCTGTCGCAGATGGCAGGCCCGGATCCTGCGCTGGGGCGGGCGGTGGCTGGGGATTGCGCTGCCGTGCCCCCCGCCCCCTCCGCCCCCGGCCTGGGCCGCACACGGCAGGCCTGGATCCCAGGCTGGGTCAGGCAGCCGCTCAGATCATGCTACCGCCTGCCCTGCCCTGCACACGGCAGGTCCGGATCTCGCGCGGGGCGGCGCAGCAGGATCTGCCTGCAGTATGCAAATTAGCCGCCATATTTGTTGGCAGTTAATTTGCATATCACGCTGATTAGCCAATGGGAGGCGTAGCGAAGGTATGGTCAATTACCGTGTTTGTCTATTATTAGATAGGATTGTTAAGGGTGAGGCAGGAAGGGGCCAGGCCAGGGAGCAGTGTAAGGGGCAGTCCAGGTGGAGGGCCTATGCCTCCCCTACCCTAGGGCACCTTGGGGGAGGCTGTGCCCAGTGGTTTCAGGGGATTCGTGGTGAGAGATAAGCAGATGGTGGCTGATTACTGACTCAAAGACCTCCTGCAGAGCCAAGGTTGGAGGATAGCTTGACATTTTGAGGATAGAGAAATGGGCTCAGCATTCCAGGCGAGCAGGCCACCGTGGATAGATAAAGAAGGCATGGAGGAGACAGAGTGGGGAGGTTGGGTGGCTGGGGGAGGGGTGAGCACCAGGGTGGGGCCTTTTTGTCAGGCCCTCCCACCAACACCCCTGCACGCTGGGAGGATAGCCTGGGCCAAGCTGGCCTCCCTCTCACCACTAGCTTCTGGCTCAGTCTCTGGGGGGGAGAGGGACCTGAGTGTGGGCACAGCAAGTCCTGCCCTTTCAGGGGGAGCAGGAGGGCACAGCGGGTGAGGAGAGAATGCTGACCAGGCCCACAGAGGGGCCCAGCTGGTGCAGCTAGAACAGGGGGCGGAGGATCATGCCCCTGCTCCCCTGCCCTAAACCCCCCCACCTGTCCCCCACCTCACCCTCATTTTCTTGGATGTCCCCCCAGCCGGTCACCCAGCAGTCACTCCGGTTCTGGAACTCATCAGAAGAGGCGAGGACACAGATGGGCTGGATGTACTTAGTGTAGGTGACAGGCGAAGCCAGCCTCAGCATGGCAATGTCAAAGGCTGACGCCCCCAGATACCTGGGACTCATAACAATCTCCTCCACCTGGTAACGGTTGCGGTAGGCCTGCAGGTTCCAGATAGACGGCGCGGCAGACAGCTCACCAAACTGGACTGTCCACATGCCGGGGCTAGTGTTCCTGGCAGAGAGGAGAGAGCAGTCAGGAGGCCTTACCAGAGGGTCAGCCACCCGAGCACACCTGGGGCCTGCTCCCAAGAGTGGTGAGCTCAGCCGCTGTGGCTCCGTGGTTGAGCATAGACCAGTGATGGCAAACCTTTTGAGCTCGGCATGTCAGCATTTTGAAAAACCCTAACTTAACTCTGGTGCCGTGTCACATATAGAAATTTTTTGATATTTGCAACCATAGTAAAACAAAGACTTATATTTTTGATATTTATTTTATATATTTAAATGCCATTTAACAAAGAAAAATCAACCAAAAAAAATGAGTTCGTGTGTCACCTCTGACATGCGTGTCATAGGTTCGCCATCACTGGCATAGACCTATGAACCAGGAGTCATGGTTCAATTCCCGGTCAGAGCACATGCCCGGGTTGCAGGCTCGATCCCCAGTGGGAGGGTGTACAGGAGGCAGCCGATCAATAATGCACTCTAATAAGTGATATTTCTATCCCTCTCCCTTCCTCTCTCTGAAATCAATAAAAACATTAAAATAAAAACGAGTGGTGAGATGTTGTCCAGAGAGGTTGCAACCCAAATCCCAGAAACTGGGAACTTGGGGGGTGGTGATGGGGCAGGAATGATCTGGCCAGTCACTCAACCAGCCTGTCACCTCCCACAGACTCGAACAAGAGCGAGCAGACACACAGATAGATGCCCAAGCAGAGTGCAGTCAGAACAGCCTCCAGGGCCCCAGCCTGTTTGGCTCAGTGGATAGAGCGTTGGTCCCGGGTTCGATTCCCGTCAAGGGCATGTACCTTGGTTGCAGGCTTCTCCCCGGCTGGGCCCTGATCAGGGCTCGTGCAGGAGGTAACCTATCAATGTGTTTCTCTCACATCAATGTTTCTCT